ACCTGCTTTCTGATATAGTTAAACTTTTTCCAGCCCAGTGAAGCATTCCAACTTCTCTTCCAGGTAATTGTCAGCAACACAGCAGTAAATATCAGCACAAAGCAGATTATTGTAGATTACGCAGGGAGAACAAAGGGTAAAATATTTAACTGCAGCAGTGTTTGACTATATTCTGCGCAGTGAGAAAACCTGTAAATGGCCATTGCACATTACGGCAATTCCTGCATTGAGCGTTTGCCCCTGGTGGTCAGTGTGTGTCATAGTGACCGGGTCGGACGGACATTTAGCATATTGGCTTGACAGGGACCTCAAGGCGTGCCCCCTGTCCCACCGCCGGGCTAGGTGACTTGAGGTCGTATCCCTCCACCCAGTGGGGCTTGATGGGGGTGGGGCTGGCCAGGTCTGGGTTTCGCGAGATTTTGAGGCACAAATGGGTGGGCAGGGTCTTGGCTCTGGTTTCCATGGCGCACCCCAGACTCTGACAGGAGGAAGATGTTCATATACATTTTACTAATTTACTTCCACCTCTGACACTTCTATTATAGAGAAAAGGGCAAATATTATAGCAATATTAAAATATTTCCTCAAATTAATTCCCTTTTAATGTACATGAATTTCGTGAGGTGCCTGTCAAGCCCCACGGGTGGGGGGCGTGGCCTGAGGTCTCCCGTCAAGCCCCGCCAGGGGGGGTGTGCACCCGGAGATCCCCTGTCAGGCCCCGCTGGGCGTGGGGCATGGCCTCAGGTCCCTGCCTGGTGCCGGGCAGGGGGCGTGGCCTGAGGTCCCCTGTCAAGCCCTGCGGGCCGGGGGTGTGGGGGTGCAGCCTGACGCCTCCTGCCCTGGCCCAGCGGCATGCACCTCAGATCCCTACTGATTGCTCCTTGAGGCTCGTTACAGTGACTTGGCCTCCGCTGTGGGCGCAGCCATTTTGTGGTACAGGATCCCTGCCTCTGCTGTGGGCACTGCCATCTTTGTCATGGGGTGATGGTCAATTTGCATATTCCCTCTTTATTAGATAGGATTCTTCAGTTTCTTTCATCAATGTCTTATTATTTTCTAAGTACAGGTCTTATACATCCTTGGTTATATTTATTCTAAAGTATATATTTTTTCAAGCAACTGTGAATGAGATTGCTTTCTTTTCTCTTTTTTTTTTTTTTTTGAAAATTGATGTTTTAATTAAAAAAAATATATATATATATTTTATTGATTTTTTTACAGAGAGGAAGGGAGAGAGATAGAGAGCTAGAAACGTCGATGAGAGAGAAACATCGACCAGCTGCCTCTTGCACATCCCCTATCGGGGATGTGCCCGCAACCAAGGTACATGCCCTTGACCGGAATCGAACCTGGGACCTTTCAGTCCGCAGACCAAACGCTCTACCGCTGAGCCAAACCGGTTTCGGCTGTTTTAATTTTTTAAAAACAAAAAACACAACATGACATGGAAGTATGTTTTACGTCTACACTTAGTTATATCCAGACATTCTTTTTTTTTTTTTAAATAAGTTTTTATTGTTCATATTATTACAAATGTTCCTTCCTTCCCCCTCCCCCCCCATTGCTCTCCTCCACCAGGTTCCCACCCCACCCTCTGCCCTTTCCCCACTCCTCATTGTCCTCATCCATAGGTGCACAGTTTATGTTCAGTCTCTTCCCACATCCCCCTCTCCCCTTTTCCCCAAGAATCGTCAGTTCACTCCCCTTCCATACCTCTGATTCTATTATATTCAACAGTTACTATTGTTCATCAGATTTTTTTTTTAATTTCCTTGGTTTTTAGATTCACTTGTTGATAGTTACGTATTTGTTGTTCATAATTTTTATCTTTGTTTACTTTCTCTTCTGAAAGAACTCCCTTCAGCAACTCATATAAGTCTGGTTTGGTGTTGATGAACTCCTTTAGCTTTTTTTTATTAGTGAAGCTCTTTATCTGACCTTCAATTCTGAGTGATAGCTTTGCTGGATAGATTATCTTTGGCTGTAGGTTCTTACTATTCATCACCTTGAATATTTCTTGCCATTCCCATCTGGCCTGCATGGTTTCTGTTGAGAAGTCAGCTGACAATCGTATAGGTGATCCTTTATAGGTAACTACCTTCTTTGCTCTTGCTTCTTTTAATATTCTCTCTTTGTCTTTTGCTCTTGGAATTTTAATTATGATGTGTCTTGGTGTGGTCCTCTTTGGATTCCTTTTGTTTGGAGTTCTGTGCGCTTCCTGGACTTGTAAGTCTAATTCTTTCCCCAGCTGGGGGAAGTTTTCTGTCACTATTTCTTTCAGTATGTTTTCGATATCTTGCTCTCTCTCATCTTCTGGGACCCCCATAATTCTGATGTTGGTTCGCTTGAAGTTGTCCCAGAGGTTTCTTACATCATCTTCAATTTTCTGGATTTTCTTGCCTTCTAGCTTCTGTGGAGGAGTGTCTTCTGGCTCTTTATGTTCCAAATCTTTGACTTGATTTTTGCGATCTTCCCTTCTGTTTTTAGGACTCTATAAAATATTTTTTATTTCAGACAATGTATTCTTTATTTCTTGTTGTTCCCTTATCATTTCTTGATGACTCCTTATTAATTCTAGTTGATTTCTTTTCATGTCCTCATAGGTCTTATCCATCTTTTCTAGGAAATTCTTGAAAAACCTTATAAGCGTAGATTTGAACTCTATATCCGCTTTTTGTCCTCCATTTCTTTCGTTTGTGATCTATTTCGTTGTCCCATTTCACAGTTACAGGTGGGGCGGGGTTTCAGGGTGGAGCCTGCAGCCTTGGCTTCCGTCAGCCCCGCCCTATGCGGGTCCTTCAGTGCTCGCTGTCGGCGCCTCTGAGAGAAAGGTGCCCTCGATTTTTGCCTGCTGCCAAACAGTCAATGCTCTCCCCCAATAAGCCCGGAACTGGGGTTCAGTTCAGTTGGAAGTGGAGTTGGAGGTGGCGTTCAGAGCAGACTGGAGCCCCTGTCTCCTTCCCGCCAGGCAATCCCGCGGCACAGCCGGCCGTCCCTTCTCTGCGCGCAATGTGCGTGCCTCCGGGACCTCCTTTCGCAGCTTCCCCGGGGTTCCGCCTCGCAGCCCAGCTCCCTCTGGCTGAGCCTGAGTCCCCGGGGTCTGGCCTAGGCCTGGGTTCAGAGCAGTCGGGGGCCCAGCACAGTCAGAGTTTTATCTCCTTCCCGCCAGGGAACGCCCGCCAGGCACTCCGCTCCCTCCTCTCCAGCTCCGTCCTCTGCGTGCCGCGCGTCTCCCTACCTTCGGCTTTTCCAGCTCCTCCGCGCTTCCTTCTGGGTTTCTCCTTGCTTCTCGTTGTAGAATTTCCCGTCAGTCAACTTTCCTGTAGTTCTGGGTAATGTCTGTTTTATATTTTAGTTGTATTTTATTGAAATTGTTGTGTGCGGCTGCGGCTAGGTATTCACCTGGGTGCAGCCATCTTGGATCTATCAGGACTAATATATCCAGACATTCTAAGCCCACACACAGTTTCCTGCCCAGAGCGGGGAATTAAAACGAGGTGCACAAAGACGAATGCTGAAGACCAAAGCACCAGCGTTCTTTTCAAACACCCCGTGCTGCCCTGGCTGGTATGGCTCAGTGGATAGTGTTGTTCTGCGAACGGAAGGGTCCCAGGTTCGATTCTGGTCAAGGGCACATGCCTGGGTTGCAGGCTCAGTCCAGTGTGCAGGGGGCAGCCAATCAATGATTCCCTCTCATCACTGATGTTTCTCTCTCTCTTCTTCTCCCTTCTCTTTTATTTAAAACATTTTGTCTTAAATAAAAATGTATTTAAAACAAAACAAAACAACACCCAGTGGTTTTCGTTTCACAGTCTGTTAAAGCGTTTTACGGGAAGTTCTTTAAGATTCTCTCCTCCAGCGCCGTGGCGTGGTTCCGTCCGGGGGCGCGTGAAGTGGTTCTGCTTTTGTCTCTCGAGAAGCTGGCGCTCAGCCAGGTCCTGTGGTCCGTGCGGGAGGAGCGGGGAGAGGAGAGGGCAGGCCCGCAGAGCGGCGAGGCCCCGAGGCCACTCCAGCCTGCGGTGCTGGCCGTCTTTTCTCAGGACAAGAAGCCTGAGGGCGCAGCGATGGTCAGAGGCTCCGGGCAGCTGAGCGCTCCCTCCAAAGCAGTAACACAGATGGCCATGCCGTGGAGGGGGCTCCGCGGGGGTGCCCGCGCGGCCGAGGCTGCTCCCACAGCTGGTGTGAGTGCCGCGAGCCGTCGCCAGGCGGGTCACGGCCGCTCATTGGAGGCCCGTCAGTGGCGCAGGCCTCCGGCTGCCCCTCTGAGCGCCCTCGGCTACGTGGGAGCTGCGGGAGGGGCGGGCACTCAGCCGGGCCCCTGCGCTGGCTGTTCAGCACGTCTCCTGTGGAGCCCCAGGATGTGGCTGTGCCAGGGCTGCGGTTTCCCGCCAGAGGAGCAGTGTGCGTTGGTCCTGGAGCCCTCAGGAGAGGGCTCCCCTTGAGGGAGCACAGGTGGCCCGAAGCCTGGGGTAGCGCGGGGCCATTCCAGAGGCGGCCGGAGGAGGGGAGCTCCCGGCAGCCTGGCCGGGCTCCGGCGCCAGCCTGTGGCTCTCCTTCCCTTTCCCTCGGGCCGCCTGGGCTTGCCCTGGCCCGTGGCGGTGCCAGCCTTTGCCCACCAGCTGAAAGGACGGCCCTGCCGCGCCGGCAGCCTGCCTCTGGCAAACTGCTGTCTGCACCGCGGCCTGTCCGGACCCCAGAGGGCCGGGCTTCGGAGTCGGCCGCAGGAGCCGGCCGCCCGGGCCACAGCGTGCAGTGTGACAGCCGGTCCGCGGGCCGCCTAGCGGCTGGCAGCCACAGGGCGACTCCGTCCTGTCGGTGTCCGGTGCTCCGGTCACCCGCGGTCCCCTGGTCCCTGAGCTCCTCACGTCTGTGTGGACTCCTCTCCCTCCCTTCGCCGTCAGCGTCAGCTCGGGGCGGGCGCCGCGGCCGTGCTGACCGGAGGGACGCGAGCCCACGGCCTGTCCCTCTGAGGTGCGCTCGTTTCTGTCCTGTGTGACCAGGTGCGGACACACACGCCTTCCACGGTGACCTTCGACCTGGCAGACCCCGGGGCCACCGCGGCGGCCGCCGCTGAGATCCTGCGGTGCTTCGGCCACGTGGACGTGCTCATCAACAACGCGGGGGTCAGCTACCGCGGCGCCGTCCTGGACACGCCCGTGGACGTGGACAAGAGGGTCATGGAGACCAACTACTTCGGCCCCGTGGCCCTGACGAAAGGTAGCGGCCCAGAGGGAAAGGGCGCGTGGTTCTGGCTTCCACTTCCCTTGCTTCCTCGTTGGCCAAGCGTGGCCGACCGCCGCCTGCTTCACCGGGGCCGTGCCTGCTGCTCGCTTTCCAGACTTTTAAACCGTATCTTCTTATCGATGTCCGGGAGGGGAGCGGGGGGAGAGCCCTCAGCGATGACAGAGAATCATGGTCGGCAGCTTCCTGCCCACCCCCCACGAGGATCGAGCCCACGGCCCTGAGTGTGCCCTTGACTGGAATTGAACCCTGGACCCTTTGGTCCGCAGGCCACACTTTATCCTTGAGCAAACCGCCAGGCGGCGTTTTCAGACTGTTACCTGCTCTTCCTTTATCTGCTTCCTGGTCCTGTGTCAGGGTGGTCTCCTCAGTGCACTTTGTAGAGCATCGGCCCCTTTGGGGGGCGGGGGGCGCTGTGAGCCCTGCAGAGCGGAGGCCTGGCCTCTCCCCGGAAAAGGAGGGCCTGCTGCCCGAGGGGAGGGCGCCGCGCGAGCTCTCCCGCCTCCCTCTGCGGGCCTGGGTGCAGGAGGCCTCCCCACCCTCCCCACCGGGGGCTTCCCACACCTGGTGCCATGGAATCTGGCGCGGGCGTGCGGTCTCCTCCTCTCCCAGGGGCGGGCGGGCAGGGGTGCGACCGAGGAAGCCTCTCCTGAAGCCCGACTCTCCGCAGCGCTCCTGCCCTCCATGGTCCGGCGGCAGTGGGGCCACGTGGTGGCCATCAGCAGCGTGCAGGGCAAGATCAGCGTGCCCTTCCGGTCCGCATGTGAGTATGTGAGTCCCCTCCGGGCTCTGCTCCCTCCGAGGCCGGACCCTCCCGCCAGGACTCGGCCTGGGAAGTGCTGGGCGGTGAGCAGCCCCCTGGGGCCGTCCTCTGCTCCTGGGCGTCTCCATCTGCCACGTGGGCTGTCACCCCTGAGCTCCAGGAGGGCGCTGGCCCGCGAGCTGCTCAGCCGGCCAGCCTTCCCCACGGTCGTCAGTCCCACGACCCCCAGACCCTGTGGCCTCACGGCCGGGTGTATGCCTCCAGATCTGCTAATGCCCACCATGCGTCCAGCTGCGCATGCTGCTTCCTGGTCTGCCGAGTGCTTCCCAGTGGCTGTAGCGACTCACTGATACCTGACTGACTGAGCCATTCTCCCTGGCCAGTGCAGCCTTCTCTCGGCCCCAGAGGGCCACTCTCCTCAGTCCCGCCTGGGCAGTGCTCTCCACACCTGCTCACCGGGTACTCAGGCACCCCAGCAGCCTGGCCTGCCCCCAGCAGCCTGGCCTGCCCCCCAGCAGCTGGCCCCAGGCTGGTGAAGGTCTGTTCCTCATCGGGCTGGTTTATTGGCTGATGGACCCCCTTTCTCAGGGCTAAGCATGTGGAAGTCTGAGTTGGAGGAGCTGGTTTTCAGTGGAGATGCGTGCTTCCCCACACTGTCCTGTAGGCCTGTCCCCGGGAAGATCGGTCCTCGGGCTGTGAGCGGCCGGAGGAGCAGGGGCAGCTCCGTGGCAGAGGCGGAGCCAGCTGGGTAGTCTTCCGGCGAACGCACTGTGTGGACACACGGGAGAGCCAGCTGCGGCGTTCAGGAGCGCATGCCATGTGCTCTCTGCGAGCCAGCCCCCGTGACAAACCGGGGGCAGCCCGTGCTGGTCCCCTCCGGGCTGGCGCCTCACACGGCCACGTGGGGCACGGGGCAGGTGTGCTGTCACCAGGTGCAAAAAGCTACTTGCAGGAATAACATGAATAGTATGAGCTCATTCTGTAAAAAAATGACTTACATGCAAGGTCACATATGTGTACATAGGATATAAAAATAAGGCACCCGTTCGCATCCGCTACTTCCGGAGAGTGAAATTGGAAGGCATGACTCTAACTTCTCGACTTTATATCCTCTGTCCTATTTGAATATTGTACCCATTAGGCATGAAGTGAGAATTTTTTAGTTTGGGGGTTTTTCTTCTTTTTCTTCTTCTTTTAAATCTTTATCATTCAGATTATTACAATTGTTCCTCTTTTTTCCCCCCATAGCTCCCTCCACCCCGTTCCCACCCACCGTCTGCCATTACCCCCTCTCCCCCCCTGCCACTGTCCTCATACATATGTGTAGATTTTTGTCCAGTCTCTTCCCGCACCCCCTCATCCCTTTCCCCCAAGAATTGTCAGTCCACTCCCTTTCTATGCCCCTGATTCTATTATATTCACCGGTTTATTCTGTTCATCAGATTTTTAATTCACTTGATTTTTAGATTTACTTGTTGATATATATTTGTTGTTCATAATTTTTATCTTTACCTTTTTCTTCTTCTTCCTCTTCTTAAAGAATACCTTTCAGCATTTCATATAATACCTGTTTGGTGGTGATGAACTCCTTTAGCTTTTTCTTATCTGTGAAGTTCTTTATCTGACCTTCAATTCTGAATGATAACTTTGCTGGATACAGTAATCTTGGTTGTAGGTTTTTGTTGTTCATCACTTTGAATATTTCTTGCCACTCCCTTCTGGCCTGCATAGTTTCTGTTAAGAAATCAGCTGACAGTTGTATGGGTGCTCCCTTGTAGGTAACTAACTTTTTCTCTTGCTGCTTTTAATATTCTCTCTTTGTCTTTTGCTCTTGGCATTTTAAGAATTATGTGTCTTGGTGTGGTCCTCTTTGGATTCCTTTTGTTTGGGGTTCTATGTGTTTTCTGGTCAGTCAACTTTCCTGTAGTTCTGGGTAATGTCCGTTTTATATTTTAGTTGTATTTTATTGAAATTGTTTTGCGAGGCTGCAGCTAGATATTCACCTGGGCGCAGCCATCTTGGATGCCTCCTATGTGTTTTCTGGACTTGTAAGTCTATTTCTTTCACCAGATGGGGGAAGTTTTCAGTCATTATTTCTTTAAATAGGTTTTCAATATCTTGCTCTCTCTCTTCTTCTGGGACCCCATAATTCTGATGTTGGTACACTTGAAGTTGTCCCAGAGGCTCCTTACACTATCTTCATATTTTTGGATTCTTTTTCCTTTTTGTTTTTTTTGGTTGAGTGTTTTTTGCTTCTTTGTATTTCAAATCTTTGACTTGATTCTTGCAGATCTTCTAGTCCCATGGTCGGCAAACTGTGGCTCATGAGCCACATGCAACTCTTTGGCCCCTTGAATGTGGCTCTTTCACAAAATACCCTGGCCTGGGCGAGTCTATTTTGAAGAAGTAGCATTAGAAGAAGTTTAAGTTTAAAAAACTTGGCTTTCAAAAGAAATTTCAATCGTTGTACTGTTGATATTTGGCTCTGTTGACTAACGAGTTTGGCAACCACTGCTTTAGTCTGCTGTTGGATCTCTATATTATTCTTTATTTCAGTCAGTGTATGCTTAATTTCTAGTTGGTACTTTTTCATATCCTTGGGGGTCTCACTAAATTTCTTGGCCTTTTCTAGAAAATGCTTGAAAAATCTTATAACCGTGGTTTTGAACTCTTTATCCAGTCATTTGCTTTCCTCCATTTCTTTCATTTGTGATTTCTTTGTCTCCACGTTTTTGCGCTTTCCTGAGATGGTAGGGTAGCTTTGTGTGCTCCGCGTCCTATAAGGCCCAGTGGCTCAGCCTCCCCAGTTACCTGAGGTGGGCACTCTTGGTGCACCCCTTGTGGACTGTGTGCACCGTCTTGTTGTAGTTAAGCCTTGATTGTTGTTGGTATCACTGGGAGGAATTGACCTCCAGGCCAATTGGCTGTGAGGATCACCTGTGTCTATGATGGGAGAACTTCTGTGCTGGAGACACCCTTATGAGGCAAGACTTGCTTCAGTGGGGCTTTGGTGCTCACTGAGTCTGCCCCTGTGTGTGTCCCTTATGGGTCTGTGGAGTTGTAATGTGGATGGTCCTATCTGACTCCGGGTACACTGGCACTTGGATCTCTAAGGAGGTGCTCATTTAGCCTCTGCCTGAGGCCACCCAGCAGGAGCTATGGAGAGATCTGCAGATTCCTCTTTGTTTGGGTTTTGGAGGTGCCCAGATGAGGCCCAGCTGTGAAGCAATGCAAGCTGCTGGGGGGCCTTGGGCCTGCTTTTGGATGGGCCTTCTTCTCACTGACTCAGCTGCAGTTGTTAGGTAAGTTTAGATTGCAAAGGGCCCAGCCATTCATATGCAAAAGCCTCTGCACACAGATTGGATGGGGCCGAGTCTCAGGGCAGAGCAAAGAGCAATGGCTTCTCGTCAGCCCTGCCCTAAGCGGCCCCCAGTCTCAGTGTCCCACGGTAATCCTGCAAGCACCTCTGAGAGAAAGCTGCCCTTGAGTTCCGCCCGCTGCCAGACAGTCCAGTTTCTCCCCGTATGAGTCTGGGCCCCAGAGTCTCGCCCGGAACTGGAGTTCAGAGCAGTCGGGAGTTTGTGTCCCCCTCCAGATTGAAAAAGCCAGACGCGTACTCAGTTGGCAGCGCCTCTCTGTGCACGCCTCCATACCTCTGCCTTTACTTCTGCAGCTCTGAGTCTCAGTGTGCTTTTCTCTTCCCTTCTACTTGTAGAATTTCACTCAGCCAGCCTTCCTGTGGTTCTGGATGATGTCCGTTTTGTCTTTTAGTTGTAGTTTTGAAGTGGTTGTGCAAGGCAGCAATTTTCAGGTGTTTACCTATGCTGCCATCTTGGTTTCTCTGGGGTTTTTCCTTTTAAAGTAGAATAATTTAGAAAAGTTGCAGAAACAGAAGAGCCCCCATTTGCCCTCCACACAGATCCCCAGTTGTTAACATTTACATGTTGCTTCATGTTCTCTGCGTGTGCACATGTATGTGTATATCAAGTTTATACTTTTTCTTTCCCGAACCATTTGGAGAGTGTCGGAGACATGCCGCTCCTTTCCTCTGCAATACTTCAGGTACAGATCCTAGTGGTGAGGATGCCATGCTTCTCTAAGGAGATGGGAGTTGCTGTGATGCTGCAATTGTCTAGGTGTAAATTATAGGGCCAGTTTCCTACATAAGAGAGCGTGAACATGTGGTCTCAGCCCAGGCCATGCCCCACCCCAACTCACACCCTGCCTTTGGCCCCCTCTCTGCAGATGCAGCCTCCAAACACGCAACCCAGGCCTTCTGTGACTGTCTGCGTGCAGAGCTGGATCAGCACGGGGTCGCAGTGACCGTGCTCAGCCCCGGCTACATCCGCACCAACCTCTCCCTCAACGCCATCGCCGCCGACGGCTCCAGATACGGAGGTGAGGCTCCAGTTCCTCTTCTCTGTGAATGTGTGCTCCCTCATCCTAATATAAAAACCCTGGGTCTGTCACCCGCCACGGCCGGAGGCTGGGCAGGCTGCACGTGCAGCAGCGAGCCAGATGAACTGCTGACCTCCCGGGAGGAGGGGTGTAGGGGGACAAGGGAAAGAGAGAGAGCGAGAGCGAGTGAGAGGGGGGTGGGGGGCGCGGGGCGATCAGCAGTAGCAGCGGCTGCTGGCAAGGCCGGGAGAGAGAAGCAGTCAGACATCCCCCAAGGTCTCAGATTGGAGAGGGTGCAGGCTGGGCTGAGGGACATTTTGTGCACCAGGCCTCTAGTTTGAATATAATTTTTCATTTTAAAAACGAAAACACACTGGTGTTGGTCAAATGCACTACCTGCCAGGTCATCTTTTACCCCAAACGGCCCACTGCAGCCGTCAGGGAAGCCCCTGAGCTGAGGGGCTGCTGTGTTCCAGTGATCCCATCTCAGTCATTGATGTGAATCTAAGGTGAACACACCTCAAGAGGTTCCCTACCCACAAAGCTTGGGAAGTAACTGACTTAGGCACTCAGAGCAGTGGGCTTCTGCGGCGAGGTGGGCACATCCCTCAGAACCTCCCTCTGGCTTCAGCCGAAAAGGCTGAGCTGACCTGTCACCCCAGTGCCCGGCTGCGGCCCAGGAAGCAGGCTCAGGCAGCAGAGGCGGGCCCATGGGGTGCGCTGCTGTGGGGGCAGCTCTGCTGGCCCCGAGCGACAGCCTGCTGGCCCCGAGCGCCCCTGCCGCCTCCCTGGGCGAGCGCTCACCGGACTCCTGGTCTGCCCGCTCCCCATTGGCTGAGCCACGACCGCCTGTGCCCTGGGGCAGTGGCTCACTCCTGGGCAAGACAGAGGCACAGACCCAGAGAGATTAATCTTTACGTTTCTTCTACTTAGAAGAATCTTTTTAAAAACTCCCTCTGGAAATTTAAGATAAGCAGCAATCAGAAACCTCCCTTCTGCGTTAACAAGAGCACAGTGAGGACAGATGCTGTGAAGCGCAGGTGGTGTGGACAGCGAGCACGCAGTTCTAATGGTCAGTGACAGGCCTCCCAGGTCCTACTTTTTTTGGCAAAGTTGCCAGATGACTAGGGAAGAAGGAACCAGTTTCTGTTAACCAGACAGACTCCCACAGCTGTCACTAACCCACCCAGGTCTCTTCCTGCTCCATGTGGGGAGCACCTGACCTTTTAGAAGTGGAAGCTAAGAGTCAGAAACATCGATGAGAGAGAAACACCGACCAGCTGCCTCCTGCACACCCCCCCTGGGGATGTGCCCACAACCAAGGTACATGCCCTTGACCGGAATCAAACCTGGGACCTTTCAGTCCGCAGGCCGACGCTCTATCCACTGAGCCACACCGGTTTCGGCAGAGGCACAGATTCCTAAGGCCGGGAAGCCCCTCCTTGGCTGTGGCGAGGCCTGACTGACTCCATCCGGGCCGGTCCTGAGCCCTGGCCCTGGCAGCTCCACCTCCCAGTTCCCGTGTCCTGCCCCAGGTCTCCGACCGCTCACACCGAGCCGAGGAAGGGCCTCCTGTCCTGGGCGCGGAGAGTTGGGGTGGTGGGCGCCACTGCCTCCGGACAGGCGGGAGGCGCTGCGGCGGGGAAGCTGGAGAGCCGACCGCTCAGCGGGAGGGACTGTTTCCAAGCTCACGTTTCCTCTGTCTCCTTCAGTCATGGACGAGACCACAGCGCGGGGCCGCATGCCGGCGGACGTGGCCCGCGACGTGCTGGCCGCCGTGGGGAGGAGGCAGCAGGACGTGGTGCTGGCCGGCCTGGCGCCTTCCGCGGCCATCTACCTGCGCACGCTGGCCCCCGGGCTCTTCTTCCGCCTCATGGCCTCCCGGGCCCGGAAGGAGCAGAAGGCCAAGGGCTCCTAGGCCGCGCGGCTGCTGCCCGGTGCTCGCCGGGCGGAGGCTGGAGGCGCGCTCCCCCGCAGAGCCTGGCCGCCTGCTGGGCGAGGCGGAGGCCAGCCCTGAGTGACCGCTGGTTCCAATGCCGAGAACATGAAATAAAGGAGTGGACACACGAGCCCTCGTCCGTGAGGCTGGATAACCGCCTCCCGGAGCCCAGCTCCGCCGGCTCCCGGGGCGGGTCCATCCCGACGTGGCCCCGGCCGCGCTGCCCAACCCCGACTTCCCAGCACCACGCGCCTAAAGGTTTTGGCAGCGTCCACTTCCCGTCCCCCGGGAGAGGCTGGGCATCAGATGCCGTCCTCACACCCACCCCAGGCCGTGTCCCTCAGCCCAGCCAGGGGCCAACGTGACCGTCACTGACCTCCCAGATGGCACCAGCTCTAGGACCAGGAAAGGGTTCCCATTTCCCTGCTCACCCACCCCCAGCCCTGCAGGACCAGGCGCCACTCCAAGGAGATGCCCTTAGGAGACCACCTTCTGTGGGGAAAGGACCGTGCCCTCTGGTGTGACATTCGGAATCTGGTTGAGGGTGGGGGCTCTTTAAAAAATTTTTAATTTCAGGGAGAAGGGGAGGGGGAGAGAGAGAAACACCAATGATGAGAGAAGCATTGATCAGCTATGTCCTGCACTCTCCCCCTTGGGGATCAAGCCCGTACCCCAAGCCTGTGTCCTGACCAGCAATCGAACTTTGACCTCCTGGCTCACGGGTTGACTCAGCCCCTGCGCCTGCCGGCTGGGCCGGGGGCTCCTAAAACCGCGTCCGCTCCGGTGGAAGCAGCCCGCTGGCTGGCTGGCTGTGTGGCTGAGCCAGAGGGCGCCGTGCTGGGCTCCCAACCACACACGGCGAGGTCCCTCAGGCAGCTGCACCTCAGGTTTAGAAGGAAAGTTCCCCCTGTTGGAGCGGACAGTGGAAGCGGTGGGTCCATTGTGTAGGCTTCCCGTCTTGGAATAAGTCCCCTGGCACGTTACATGTCACCTTACATGCTGTCCTAACTGGACCTATGGAGCCTGCAATTGAAGCAGCTACTCCCCAAATGGAAACGGCCAGAGCAGCCTGTGATTTGGGTGTTCAAGGCTCCTAAGTTTCCTGGAAGTTGGGGGACGAGGAGTGACAGACGTGGTGACCTGGCCCCGCTCCCACAGCCCAAGCGTCCATCCCAGACCCACGGCTGGAACGTGGACGGATATAGACGCAACGCATGGCTTCTCGCTTCCTCAGAAGCCATCTCCCTCCTGAATGTTCGCATGAGGAGAGAGGCTTAAGGCAGAGCGGTGGCCATGACATGCCAACGCCAGCATCCTCAGGAGGCAGCCAGGACGCCCTCTGTGGATGGATGAGAGCAGCTCCCCGTCACTCCTCGCTGGTACTTTCTGAAGGGCCCTGTCCGGTGCTGTCCTTCTCTCCGTTAAGTAAACGGCCAGCAGCTGGAGCTAGTGGAGTGCACTGCCCTCCAGGGCTGCACGTTAGCAAGTGCAGGCGCCCTCAGCAGCGGCGGCTCTGGAGGTGGAGGTGGTGGTTTGGGAGAAGTTGGCAGTGGCCTCAGGTGTAGGCTGGGAAACAGCTTGGAGCAGACACACAGGGTCTCAACCTACATATGACAAGGGAATCATTGAAATATCACTGAATGTTTACTTGCTTGGCATTCTTTTATTATTTTTAAAATATATTTTTACTAATTTCAGAGAGGGAGAGAAACATCGATGAGAGAGAATTATTGATGAGCTGCCTCCTGCACGCCTCACCCTGGGGATGGAACCTGCAACCCGGGCATGTGCCCTGACCAGGAATCAAACCTCCTGGCTCATAGGTCGATGCTCAACCACTGAGCCCCATGGATTGAACTACTTTTTTTTTTTTTTTTTTTTTTTTTACATACGCAACTCATTGTTTAAAGCTTACTATAGAAACTTTGTATCCTACTGTATGAATAGAAAATAACAGAATACAGACAAGTCCACTAAAACTAGCTGGGCCCACTGTCTCGGGTCAGCAGGTCCGCGGTGCCACAGGTGTGCTCGCGCCACAGATGCTCTGGCCTCAGCAACTAGAAGAGGCCTAAAGGGCAGTGGCTCAGGGCTCTCTGCTGCCCAGGTGGCACCTAAGCCCTCCTGGGCGCCCCCCCTGGAGAACAGGTGTGGTAAAGGTGGGGCTGCTGAGGCTGTGACGTGGATGGCAGCGAGCACTGCCCGAGGGGGAGTGCTCCCTGCACAGGAGCACCCCAAAGAGGGGAGCTGGGCCTTTGGCTCAAACCCATGTCTGAATGTCTGCCACCAGGGGTAGTGGTGTCGTTTCTCTCGAGTCCTTGAAGGTGGTTTTCCCATCTTTTATTCTTTTTTCTTTTCTTTTTAAAAATATTTTATTGACTTTTTACAGAGGAAGAGAGGGATCAATGAGAATCATTGATCAGCTGCCTCTTGGGGATGTGCCCACAACCAAGGTACATGCCTTTGACCGGAATCGGACCTGGGACCTTTCAGTCTGCAGGCTGACGCTCTATCCACTGAGCCAAACCGGTCTCGGCCCATCTTTTATTCTTGACTTCAGACGGGTAGGTTGGGAAAGCACGATCTGGCTTAGTTCTGCCTTCAGATAGTTCAAAGACACGTTCTGCTTTACAGGACTCGTGGTGTCTCACTGGTCCGAGGGTGAAAGCAAGCTGCCCTGTGCTTTGTGCCAAAATCAGAGGCTGAAAACAGAACCGAGTGCGGCAGAGGCCGTGCACTGCCGAGGGGCAGGCAGCAGCTCGTTGTGAGGGCACCAAGGGCGCTGCTGCCGGGCACTCGGCCGGCTCCCAGCAGCACCGAGCAGTTTCCCTCCCCCCCAGGGACCCGCTGCCGAACCAGATGTGCACTGTGCTCTGACGGGAGCGGACCGACGGGACCAGGGAGAGCCGGTCCACGTGTGCCGGGGTCTGCTCTTCCCTGACATTGGAGCGAGGCGGGGAGTTCAAACCAGACTCGGGGACTAGTCACACACACGCACTGCATGACCTAGTCACACACACGCACGCACACGGACTCATGCCTGTGGCTTGCAGAGGCCTCAGCTTCCTCTCAGGTGGCAGTGATTTCATTTCTTCAGTGCCGTGGCCTGGAACCTGAGGTTACCCGTGTCAGCTGTGTCTAGGGGGAAGGTGCAGAATAGGTACGTCCGCACCGGCAGAGGCTGGACACCCCGAGGTGGGTGGCGCTGGGGCACCACTCGCTGGAGCCTGCTCTCTCCAGCACAGACACTTGGCAGCAAGCACTTCGTTGCACACCGGGCCTCCATTTCTGGCGAGGCTTCTGCTCAGCAGGCCGGGATGGCACTGCTTGTCTGTCAGTCTGCCGCCCCAGGAAATGTGGTTTGCAGGCAGGGCATGGGACCCCTGTCCAAACCTGGGCTCTTAGGAAAGCACCTGCCATTGCCGCCCAGCTGTCTGGGACCACTGCCAGTTGACCTGGCTCCGGTGACCAGACCTCTGGAAACCAGTGTTAACCCAACACCGCTTCTGCCCCTGGCACTCAGCTGAGTAATCAGCGCCTCTAGGGCCCTTGTATTTAAAGCAGTTTCTCAAGCTTGGTGGCCATCGTTCCTTTTTGGTTTTGAATTTGTAAGTTTATCTGAACCAGACTGACGCCACTGCCCCGGAGCATGATCTCCGGTGCTGGCCCCCTCAGTCCCTTTACAGCTCTGGGTCTCCCTCACCTGAGGCCTCCGCACAGGCGGTCCCTGCTCTCCAGCCCTGGGGGAGGCCGGGGGCAGGTCTTAGAGAAGCTGCCATACCAAAGGCTGTGGGGGCCGTGGGGGCCGCTCAGGCCTTTCGGGGTGGGAGCAGCACAGGACTCGGCGCTGCAGAACAGGCCTGCTCAGGCCCATGTTTAAGCTTCAGTGCTTTAAACGTGTGCAGGCGTCCACTTCTCGTGTCCTACACCCACATCTGGGCAAGATGTCAGACCCCAGTTCTCCACATGCACCAGGGACCTGGCGACCTGCAGGCCTGTCTCCCTCCCCTGCCCCATCCCTGCACAGCAGTGGGCAGAGCTGGCCTGGGAGGCAGGCTGGGCGGGACATGAGATGGCTCCGGGCAGGTCTAGCCTGCCTGTCAGGGCCTGCTCCATTCACGTGCTGACTGGCTGCAGCCAGGCGCAGGGCGGCCTCCAGTGCCATCCATGGCCGACGACAGCAGCTATTGGCACAGTCATGAAAAGCAACGACACCTGGAGTTGAAATTCTCATCATTTTAATGGTCAATTGCTTCTGGTTGGCTCTGGAAGGTAGTTAAACAATCAACTTCAAGACCCCCACCCAGCGCACCCCCCAGCTTCCATCCACGTTCCACGCCCAGTCAGAATCCGCAGCCTCGGACTCCCTGTGGGCTGCGGAAACCCACAGCTTAGTGTGGCAAGTTGAAAAAACCCTTGGTACATTTGTGATCTGTGTTATTTTTAAAAAATAACTATTAAACCAAACACCTTCCCGGGCTCTGTTGCCTCATGGAGCAAAAAGAAGTCCCCGTGCGACCTGCACCCTCGCCGTCTCGTGGCCGGCGCCCGCTCGGCGATCATACGGCGTAGAGCTCGTACACCTTCTTTACACAGTACACCAGGGCGGCGAGCGCTATCGTGTTGTGCAGTCTCTTTCTGTGCAAGTCGTCCTTGCGGACCAGCACCACGGGGGTGGAGGAGGTGAGTGTGTGCAGGGGCAGGCGGGACAGTTTATAGGCGTCGTACTCCACTTGGTACTTGCAGCAGGGGTCAAACTGCCAGGAGATGCCGTAGAGGGTGCAGCAGGCCAGGCTCAGCACGCCCGCGGGCAGGGAGATGTAGTGGGAGTAATCGAGGGGCAGTGCCAGGGGGGTGAAGAGGCACGCGGTGCCCGCCAGCACGGTGGTCTTGTGCAGACAGTTGCCCACGGTGATCCAGCGGGCGGTCTCGTCTCCGATGCGGGTGGGCTCGATCACGATGTACTTGTACTGGGCCTCCAGCGCCTGCTCCAGCTCATACTCAAACTGGTCTTGGGCGTTCTCCCCATTGTAGATCTCGTGCACAATGTAACAGTCTGTGGCCGACAAGCTCACCCTTAGGAGGGAGAGGCAAGAAAAGACAAGAGTTAGCGGGCAGCACCCACGAGGTTTCTTTGTGAGACACCGAGGGGAAGGCAGCGAGGCGGGTCTGGCCTCAGCTCAGCGAGAGCCTGCGCTCACTTAAGTTCCTGTCACCCCTAGAACCCAGTATTCCAGACCACCAGTGAAGGATTGCTTTTCTGAAAGAATACGGTAACGGGATACAAAAAGGCGCAGGATACCCTAACCTCCAAGATGGCAGCCGGCAGCAGACTCTGCGCCAGGCGGCTGGTCTACTGCAGGGGACGGACAGGCCAGAGTTAGCTGAGCTCCAAGGAAACAAGGATGCCGTCAGCCCCGAATCGCATTCACACACCCAACCCAGAAGGCCCAGGCCAGCAGGGCGAAGACGCGGCCGCAGGACCTGAGGCAGCCCCACCACGCCTGGCCGTGCATGGCTCCAAACCAGCCGCCTTGGCGGCAGAACCGAGCTCCCCTGCCCCTTGTGGAAGGACATGCTGCACAAAGCCCCGGGCCAGCACGCCAGCACCCCGCTCAGCGGAACAACCCTTTGACCCCATCAGGAAAAGACATCTCAAGAACAACAGTGACACTTAATGGATGGGAACCCACACTGACCTGTAAGCCCAGGACCGGACTTACTCTCGCCCAGAGACCCACGCCCAGGGGCTGAGCTGATCGGACTCCCCCTGGGACCAGGGATGGGTCACAGGACCCTCAAAGTGGAGCCTTATGCCTCAAGGCCGAACGGCAGCAGAGTGTCCGGATTCTCAGCCTGAGGGCCTCTCTAATACCAACTTCCCACACCACCTGGTTACAGACCTCACACCTGGCACCTTGGTTTGGCTTGCTGCGGTCTGTCTCCATCTTTCTGAATCTCCACAGCTGTCCGGTACAGCTGCTTCTCCGGGCTGTGCTCCTGCTCACCCGATCGGAGCCTCTGACGGCACACTGCTAGGCACACCTCTGAGGCGGGTCAAACTGCCTAACCCACGTTATTACCAGCCACCTCGTCACGCCTCGGCGAAAGCAGCCCTGGCCAGTCGGTTGGGCATCGTCCCGGGAACCCAAGGGTTGCTGGTTCTACTCCCAGTCAGGGCGCGTGACTGGGTTTTCGGGCTCAATCCCTGGTGGAGGGTGTGCAGGAAGCAGCTCATCAATGTTTTACACTCACATAAATGTTTCTCTCCCTCTCTCGCTAAAAATCAATAAAAAAAATCTTAAAATAACAGCCCTAGCTGTTTGCTCAGTGGTTAGAAGTGTCAGCCCACAGACTTGGGTTTGATTCTGGTCCTGCACCTCAGTTGCAGGTTTGATTCCTGGCCCCAGTTGGGGCATGTGCAGGAGGCAACTGATTGATGTCTCTCTCTCACATCAATGTTTCTCTCTGCACCCCCTGCTCCCACCTGCTCCACTGTCTAAAAAAAGGAAACAAATCCAATGAAAAAAATGTCCTCCAGTGAGGATAAACAACAATGAAATAACTGACCATCCCCCAGACTGAAGGGAGTCTCAGGCCTCCTGCAAACATGAAAGCCATTACCTAGCACAGCTGGTGGGAGCAGGATTGTCAGGGGCAGGCGCTAAGCAACAAGGAGAGATCAGAGAGGAGACTACAGCCACCATGTCACTGCCCCAGGCGGGCCCAGCTCCCCTCTGGCTGGATGTCTCCGCTCCTGCAATGAGGAGGCCCAGGTGCTGGGCTGTGCAGGGCAGGAGCCCTGCATGCCAGGGGCTCAGGACCAGGGAGTCTTAGCCTGAAAGGTACCTGTCATTCAGGGAGGCTCAGGGCAGCCGCCTCCTCAGTTAAGGCGCCGGCCTCATCACCCTGGCCCCAGGGAGAGCCCTCCCCGGGTGGGGCCAGCCTCCCAAACACGGGGGCTGCCAAAGCGCCCGTGGTGCCTGCGGCCAGGGCTGCCTGTCCGGGAAGGTGAGGAGAACCCACCGCCAGTTCACAAAACAGGAAACGTCGGTTTTCCTTGGGAAGGCCTTGATGGAGTTTTCCATTTGCTTGTAACACAGAGAGATAAACCAGAGGCCATTCCAGTCACTGCTCCTGGCAGGGGCCCGCACGGACACCTACTCGGACCACCGGGAATAGGCTGCCTGTCCCTGGTTCCTCGGACGGACCACCCCGGCCCAGAGACGTCCTTATGTCCTCACGTTCATTAGCCCAGAGAGACGGGAGAGACAGGAACAAGGGACTGGGTGGAGTGGGGTGGGAGGGGTGGGCAGCTCATTCATGAGGAGGCACACTGGCAGGCGACTGTGGCCCCGTCACTCCGGTGAGCGCTGCTGCTGGGCTCCGAGGCGTGCTCCGGCCAGTCCTCTGGACACTCAAAGCAAGAGGCGGGTACCAAGGCTGAGATCACAGAATGTTCTCGACAAACCCCAAAGCTACCTCAGTCACGCAGTGCCCTTCCGTACCCAGCAGACTAGAGCTATCCTGTTATGAAACACCCACTGTTGGACGTACAAGAAAATGCTAGTTGGACCCACAGCACCTGGATTATACGACTTCACCTGGGAACACAGTGGGCAGATCCCCCCACGCCACCGGGTCCTCCCCAGCGCCCCGCTGCCCTGGCTCTGAGCCCAGCTGGCACCACCCTCCCAGGCCCTGGTGGGCTCTTGGGCGGGAGTGGAGGCAAGGCCAGCCCTGTCATTGGTCAGCACACATCAGTGTGAGTGCCCGGGGCCCACTGCCAGCCATCAGCACAGGAGCGGAGCACCAGCCTTCAGCGGCGGGCAGTCCCGAACACCGTGGCTGCGGAGCACGCGGAGCGGGGCACGGCACACCACCGCGCTCACACCCTGCAATGGCCCACTCCTCCGCCATCACACAGCAGCTCTCCGCGCAGACAGAGCCAGGCAGGCCGCGGCCGGCCAGACACACCAGGTCGTCGGAAGGCAGAGCCGCCACATCCAGGGCAGCAGGGATGGTCCCCTGGAAAGCATGGGGTCTGCAGCCTAGAAGATTCCCAGGACGCAGATGTGCAAAAAGGAAACGGCAAGGCTCAAAACAAACCGGCACACACAACCCTCCGCCAGAGGCCACCACCAAGCATCAGCACCTGCCCTCCCACCTGGACTGTGGCAGCGGGGCCACCGTCAGACCCTGCAAATGTAGGTTTTAAAAATGTCCCCAATCACCAGGTCCCATTCTGCATGGTGGGCATTCAGAAACCTGGTGGCGAAGGATGCCCAGGAGTCAGTCCGCAACAGCCGGATACCCAGCGTCCCCCCCCCCCCCAGGGTGGGTGGGCTGGGTATAAGACTCGCCCAGGCCGTGGTGTTTTGTGGAAGAGCCATACTCAAAGGCCCAAAGAACCGCATATGGCTCGTGAGCCGCAGTTTGCCGACCACGGGTCTAGGCCCTTCCTGGTCCCCAGACCCACTGCAAAGCTGATCTCAAAGGAATCCGGGGTTACCGAAGTAGGTCCCCAACATGGGGTCCCAAATCTAGAAACACCTCCCCACAGTCAGAGCTGCACAGGAATGCGAAGCAGCACTGCCTGGCCCCATCCATGTGCCCTGTGCCGTCCTCCAGAGCGAAGCGGGAGGAGTCCGGGGAGGGGGCAGGACTACGCGGGGACACTTCACACTCAATCCGAAAGCACACGGACTAAGGTGTGTGATCAGGGCGGTTGTGTGTGCTGCCTGCGGAGAGAAGCACGGAGAGGACTGACAGGGCGGGAGAGCGAGGTGCCCCTGCCTGGGCGGAGACACGTGGCCAGGTGATGCTAGTTTTCTATTTCTTAAGATTAGTGGTGAGCACACAGGTTTATTAATTTTAAAAATATGGTGAAATACACAAAAAATGCTATCTTAACCACGTTTAATGTGCAGCCCCTATTGGAAGTACATTCATACTGCGCAGCCCGCCTCCAGAACCTTTTCATCGTGCAGAACTGAAACTCTGCCCCCCCCCCCACACACACACACCGCCATCCACGTGCGGTCGTGCGGTCTGCCCTCTGCGCCGGCTTCCTTCCCTCGCACCCTGCCTCACAGCGCCGTCACTCCTCCTGTAGGGACTAACGTCCCATCGTAAGGAAAACCACGTGTCCATCTCTCTGTCCATCAATGGACACTTTCTTTCCACCTTCCAGCTACTGCGAATGACGCTGTGAATGTAAAGTGACGTCTGAGTCTCTGCTCTCAATCCTGGGGATCTACACCTCGAAATGGAAGTGGTGGATGCTAGTTCTATTTCCTTTTCTGAGGAACCGCCACCTCTCCCCACGGCGGGCACCACGGGGATTCTCAGCACCAGTGCAGGCGGCACTGCCCCCAGCCTCAGCCTTAGCCCCCGTGTGTTTCACAGGAGCCATCCTGATGGTGAGGGAGCTCAGTGTGGATTTGATTTGTATTTCTTAAGATAATGGCTTTTGAGACTAAATTCACACGCCATGGGATTCACCCAGTTAAGTGTACCATTCAACAGCTTAGCACTCCCCCCCGTTGTGCAATGACCACAATCAATTGTAGGACATTTCATCGTCCTGAAGACCTGCCAGTCCTCATTCCCCACCCCCAGCCCCCGACCACACCCAGCTGCTGCTGGACTCTGCGGCCGCCTGCTCTGGGCCTCCAGACCGCACGCACCCTGTGCCCTGCCTCTGTGACAGCTCCCGTCAGCCAGCATCACTGTTTCAAGGATCATACGTATGGTGGCTAGTTTAAGACTTTCAGAAATATACTTCTAAAGTGTTTAATATCATTTAAAAAAATCCAAGACAAATGATATGGGGGCATCAAAGGTGCTATATACAAAAATGGTCAATAATGGTTTTGTTTGAATAGTGAGCTAGCAAGTGATTCTTAATTTTTTCCTCATGCTTAGAATTCTGTATTAAAAAATGCAAATATGTGCTTCCTTTATAATGGGAACATTATTATAAACATTTTCAGGGAAAATATTGTTCGCCAGCCTTGTATCCTTGGGGCGAAGAGACCAGAGAGCCACAGGGCCCCCAAAACGCAGGGGACAGGAGCGCCTCCCCCGGGCAGGGGGAGTCTGCTCGGAGGCTGAGGCTTGCGGCCCCCTCGTCCTCAGGAGGAGGAGTCCAGCTCCCTTTTCACACCAGCCAGCACTGCGCTGCCCTGTCCCGGTAGCTGGAACCAGAGCCGAATATAACCAGAGTGAAAGCTCTAGCTGCACCCAGTTTCCTAGCGGCCCTGGGCTCACAGGACTGAGGTGTGAGCTCCCGTCCGAGCCACAGAGGCTGTGATCCTGAGTTCCTGAGAGCAGAGGAAGTATTCGTACCCCAGCACTCCGCCCTGGGCCTGAATGTGACAGGCATGAGCAGACGACTGAAATGAGTGACGGAGAAAAACAGCTAGTCAGTAAGAGAACGGGTGGCTGAAAACCCACCCAGGCCCCATTCATGTTGCTCCCTCCGTAAGAAGCACGTGGTCCCTCGGTCACCCACGATCGGCGAGGCGCTGGAGTCACCTCCCCCCGCCTAGGAAACCCACTGCCGGCTAACCAGACCTGCTTCCTCGGACCACAGGAAGCGCAGCTCCGCTGTGGGGTGAGCCAGGTGGGACAAAAAGGCAGGTGGGACGCGCAGCCCAACCCTGAGGACAGTTCCACATCGGACCCGGAGCTTCCCCCGGGCCAGAGAGCCTTCCTCTGGCTCCAGAGGCCTGCGTTCCAGCGCCCCCGCCGCCCCGAAGGCGCCCCCGGCCGCCGCGGAGCCAGCGGGGGCCCGGGGCAGGGCCTAGCTCTCCCAGTGCTGCGGCGAGGGGGGCTGGCGCCGCAGTGACCGCTCAGTTCACATGAAGCAGAATTAAGGGCTCAGTTCCTCAGATGCACGAGCCACACTTCAAACGCTTCCAGGTCACAGAGCGGCTCCCTGAGGAGCAGCCTGACGGAGAGCTGTCAGGCCACGGGGGCCTGGGCTTCCCAGATCTGCTGCACCAGCGGCAGGCCCCGTGGCAGCTGGGGGTCCGTGTTCACTCTGTGGAGCCTTCCCCGCCCCCCTTTCCTCACTCACTGAGGTACACGCAGACACACACACACACACACGCACACGCATGCTCTCTCCTTAAGCAGCAGAGGGTTGGGGCAGAGAAGCCAAACTCTTCTCACTTCCCTGGACAGAGGAGCATCCCTCTTCCTCAGAAAGCTGGGCCCGAACGGGGAGGCACTAACAAGTCACTGCGCTGGCAGTCCAGCTTCCCAAGTGAAACAAGTTTACGCCTAAGAGGATGCACCCGAGCAGACCCTACCCCACAGGCCCAACTTCTGGGACCAGAAAGGATGGCCAGCTATGCACAGCTCCACCCTGGTGGCCAGTGGGACGCGCCCCACCACCCTCCTGGCTGCACATGCACACACACGAGTGCACATGCTGTGTGCACGGCTCGTCGGGACCAGGAGGGAACAAACATCTCACCCACACACCAGGGTGGTATGGGAGACTTTCAGGAGAAATGAAATACCACAAAGCCCTAAGGCTCTCCAGGGCCAAAAGGAGAGGGGCCATCAGAATGAGGGCTGTGTCCCTGCCACGTGGCACAGGGCTGCTACGCGGCCGGACTGGGAACTGACCCTCCACGCGATCCGGAGCCGCGTCTGTCTGACTCAGATGAAAGCAGAGCTGTCAAAAGAGCAAGCACTAAGGAACAGAGCGTGAAGGACATGCACGGACCCCCTCCCCCCAACGGGCTGCCTGAAAATGCTGCACAACCAGGGGAGGGCCAGGTTGCAAAATGTGATTTCACCCTAAAAACCAAGCATCTGCTTCAGCGTGCCTGGCCCTCGGGACACCACAGGCCTGCAAACAGCGCTGCTGCCCCCAATCACGATCGGAATCCGATCAAACACGCCTGCAGGATAAAGGCAGGAACTGAGAGCAGAGAGCTGTACTCACATTCCAGCAAGACGGAGAACTCGGGGTGCGCAGGCCCCGAGAGAGTGAAGACAAGGAGCCCAGGGGACAGGCGGGCGTCTGGGAGCCGATCCGGGCTGGCGCCCAATGGCAGAACACACAGGTACCTGCACTGTGCCTTCCTAGGTGGGCCAGCGTCTCAAAGACGTCGACAGGCCAAGAGGCAGTCTGTTTCGTGTGCTCGCGGCCAGTGTGCTGAATTCTGGACAAGAATTCAGGTTACAGCTCAGAGTCTGCTGCTCTTCATTACAAACATTGTTGATTTCCTAGATTTAATGGAGTGGAGAGAAAAATCAACATGCAAGCAGCTTTCATTTTGCTATTTCCACCCTCTCCTAGTTCAGTCTAGACCAGCGGGGTCCTGTCGCTAGGCCTTCCTGCACTGATGCCTATGTCTTATCTCTACCCAGTCACAGCCACGGGGGCTATCAGCACCTGAAATGGCACTAGTGTGCTTGGAAAGTTGACTTTTTCATTTTGCTTAATTTTAATTAATTTAAATGTAACTGCCACATGTGACTAGTGGCTACTGCAGTAACACAGTTTTAGACTCAAGAAACAGGTAAAGCAAGAATCCACATACTGTGTGTCTTAAACTCGACCATCATTAACATACAGCTGACAGAAATTCTCATGGACAATTTGACACTGGAGCCTTTAAATACAAGACATGCTGTGGACTCTGCAGCCACTGGCAATTCTAGAAAGTTTGTCCAAAGCACTGCTCTGCTCCAACCCGTGCACTAAACAAGACAGTTCCCTCCAGTTTCAGCATAAAGCAGATTCCAACCAGGTCTGTGCAGCAGCTCAGGGAAGTGGTCTTACAATGTGGAGCTGAGACTGGAATCAGCACAAATGTGACATGGAGGGAGCAACGTCATTTAGGAGCGCAGTAAACAGCCACATTTCAGTTATGAGAGCCAATAACACACGTGGGCCTCATCATCTGTGGTGCCTGCCAATCCACTAAGCCAGCCTGCCCCACCCAGCCTGCCCACCCACACAGCAGGGACGGAGGTGTGCCCAGGAGCCAGCTAGCTGGCAGGGGCCAGGGTGTGTGGGAGGATTATGTTTCCATTCCTTGCTCACATGGGACAGAGGGAAACCAGGTCCCCAGCGAGGGCCTCACAGCCAAGGCAAATGAAGTCCCCATGTCCTCCCACCCGCATCTCCACCAGATCACCTGGCAGGCAGATGGCGCAAACAGAGGGTCCCCCTTCAATAGTGCATCATATAGAAGGAGAGCTGGTGTCCCCCAAACCACCAACCAGATGCCCATTGCTGGCTAGCACATCTGCATGTGTGAGCAGAGCCTTCAGTTCCAGGCCAAAGGTTGCAATCTGACACCTAAGGAGACCAGGCAGGTAGCAGCAGTGAGTCAAAGTGTCAGGTGAAGAATGATGGATGAACTAGAAAGCACTGGACTCAACCAAAAAAGTCAGGCACCACTCAGCTTTCCAAGTGAAGCGGGTGTGTGTGTGTGTGTGTGTGTGTGTGTGTGTGTGTGAAATCCTGAAATCTGAAAGTGCTGGAAACTAATCTAAATTCTCTTAAAGACAGAGGGCTATAATCAAGGAATGGATTCAGTGTATAGGCTGCTGGTTTGCAAACTCTGTTTTGAATTAATGATTGTCTCAAATCAAGGAGAAAAAAAAATCCCCAATATCTCATTTATTTTCTTTTAATGGTGTGTTGTGTGTGTGTTTTTTAATTGATTTCAGAGAGAGGGAGAGTTAGAAACATCAAAGATGAGAGAGAATCACTGATCAGCTGCCTCCTGCATGCCTCACACTGGGGATCAAGCCACAACCCCAGCATGTGCCCTGACTGGGAATCCTCTGATTCCTGAATCCAGGTTCAACCACAGCCACAGCGGCTGGACCCCAATATCTAATTTCTTAGGTCGGTTAAAGTTTAACAGCCCCTGCCTGGGGCATCCCAATATGGCCCTTCCAGCTGTTTTTATCCAGGAAGAGAAATGCCTTTCTCTCTGATCCTCTTAAAGTTTTCTAAACAGGTTATTTCCTATTATTAAAGGATCAATGTTTGCATTCAAGACCTTGGAAATGTCTCTTAGTTTTTAAGATCACTGGAAAAATCCTCGAGGTCACTTCTGTCGTTTCCAGGTCTGATCTAAGAAATACAAGGTCGGAGCTGGGGAAAAACAAAAATATATCTGCTTGCCATTCACGGCTTTTCCAAGCACCAGGAGACGCAGAACCGCTAACCCCGGGCCTCTGAGCTCGGGAGCCAGGCGAGCCGCAGGTCCTGTGCCGCGCGCGGGGGGTCTGGCGCGATCGCCGGACGGACTCGCGGGGAAAAGGCGTCACGGGGCGGGTGGAGGGGCCGCGGTGAGGAACTCTCCGGACCATCCTCACCGGAAAGCCCGCCTGGCCGACAAACAGCCTCCCCCGGGCCGCGGCGCCCCTCCCGCCTCGCGCCGGGCCCTCCCCGGCGACCCCGCCGCCGCCGCCCGCCCCGCCCCGGCCGCTCGGCCGCGGAGCTGCTCGTCAGCTCGGCCCCGGCGCCGGCGCCGGCCCCCCCGAAGCCGGGCCTGCGGACGGAGGTCCCCGCAGGAAGGCGCTCCGCTCCCGCTCCGCCATTCATTAGGAAAGGTCACTGCAGAGGACTCCGCCCCGGGCGCCGCGGAAACCACCCGAGGCCCCTCCCGAGGCGGCGGCCGAGGCCCGCGGCCCCGGGGAGGCGGTGGCCGGGCCACGGAGCGGACGGCGCCCCCGCCGCGCCCTCCGCGGAGTCCGGCCCGCCACGTCAGGCCGCAGCCGGCGAGCGTGGCCGGCGGGCGGGACCCAGGCGCCCTCGGCCCGCGGGCAGCAGGCGGGCTCCGAGGGCCTGCGCGGCCCGGCCGGCCTCGCTCGGATCCCGCGCCCCCGCGGAGGCCGCTTCCACGGCTCCCACGCGGCCGCGGGTCGGCCTGCGCCGGAGCCCCGCGTGCCCGGCGAGGAACGGGAGGGAGGTGGGAGCGAAGGGGGCGCCGGGGACGGGGGCAGGGACGGCGCTGCAGCCCCGGCGGCCTCGCTGGCCACGCGCCCTGCGCCTTCAGCCGGGGCGCCGCCAGCGCCGGGCTCACCTCTCTCGGGCGCCTCCGCTGCCCGGGCCCAGGCGCCTCCGTCCCCACGCGGCCATCTTGCAGACTCTCGGCTCGCGGACGCCTCGCGCGGCGGCCCGGGCGGCGCGTGAGCCGACGGGAGTTGTAGTCCGGACTCCAGCCCGGGACGGCGCAGGAGGCGGGGTCGAGCCGCCCCGAACTACAATGCCCACAATGCACTGGGCCGGCAGCCCCGCCCCGCGTCGCTTGGGAAAGGTGGTACTTGCTGCGGGCGGGTGCAGCGTCGGCCTCGGCGGAGTGCGGGCCGGCGCCTCCTCAGAGATCGAAGTTCCCCAAGTTCGCGGCCCCGGGTTCCGGGAGCGGGAGCTGTGGGAGGGCGCCCCGCGGGCCCGGCGGGAGGCTCGCTCCCTCCGCGAGCGGCCGTCCTGCCCTTCCCGGCCGCCTGACCGTTAAGGTCACCCGGCGGGAGGCGCTGCTCCTCTGCTTCATCCCCCAAATTACCTGGGTTCGGGGAAGCCCCTGCGGACAGACAGGCGGGCCCCTGCTGCACGGCGGCGCCTGCTCGCAGGGTGTTGGGAGAGCGGCGCCTCGGCCCATGCGGTGGAGGAGGCTCTGCCGCGGAGAAAAGCCCGTTTAGGGCCACGGGGCCCGCAGCCGCCACGCGCCCGCGGCCCGATCTCAGTGTGGTGTCTGACTACGCCGAGCGGGTCATCCCACCTGCTGCGATCTGTTGTAATGAGCTGGTTACTGATCACAGGAAGGGAGCAAAGGGAAGGCCGGACATTGCAGGCAGGTCATTGGGCAACTTCATCAGGAAGCGGCAGCCTCACGCCGCAGGAAGGGGAGATGGGAGCATGCCCAGTGAAGTTGGGGTGACTGGAGAAGGTACTTGTCTGTCAGTCACACCTGGGGATGGGAGCGGTTGGCCAAAATGGGCGTGGCCATTGCCAGCTCAGTGGCTTAAAGGGAAGTTCGCTCTCTTACTGCTCTTCCCTCTTGGGCTCTTGTTGCTCCGGGTGTGATCCCTGCATTTGCCTGCGTGGCCCACAGCTGCGCCGACCCCACGCACAATGGACTGAAGGACTGCAGGGGCCTGATGCTGTATTGGACGACGTGAATATGGACCGGAAACTGGACACGCTCTGATTTCAGCTCTCCTGAAACCCCAGCAACACTTCTAAGACTGGACTGAGGGAAACGAGGGGTGTCATTCCCCAGAAATAAAACTTTCTACCATATCTCATCCTCCCATGGGGGCCTCTGGAAATGCTTATCCAGTGGCACCCCAAGAATCCCACTTCCACGAGTCCTCCCCTGCTGTAATAATGGGAACCTGGGCAGAACCGGCGTTTTCCTGGACAAGGTGGGCCCTGCCTCGTCCTCAGAAACCACCTGTCACTTCTCTCTCTACCGTTCTCACTGGTTCATTCTTCTAGCAAATACTTACCAGAGTCCCGCAGCTGGCAAGACACTGTTCCTGCACAGATAACAGTCCCGGGAGGCTTTCAGGAGCGCACCTGCCGTCCACGGGATAAAACAGGTCACCGTTTTGCAGCATGAGTCTGCGAAACATAGATTGCTCCTGACTTACCTGTGTCCCACTCGGGCAGCCAAGAGCAGCCGGCAGGAGTAATGACCCACTCGGCAGGTGTGGGATTCTTTGGGGAGGTGCCACTCATTTGCATGTCACTAAACCTTCATGAGCACTTGCCCTCATGACAGGAATAAATGGACAAGGCCCCCACCTTCCACCATCCCATGTGGTGGCCCCTCATTCAGGGCTGTGGGCAAGCACAGAACGTAGATACAGAGGCTGACATGGAGAATGTACAGAGGGGTCCCGGGCAGCCTGGGCCATGCTTATGCCAGTGGCATGAGCACAGCACGGTGAGCTGATAGCGGCAGTGCCTCTGCAGCACAGTCCACTTTCTAGCTCCTGTCACCTCTGGACAAGCCAAGGATAGGTGAAACATTTACTATAGTATTTTGACTTCACAAACAGATTGGGGCTGAGGGATGGTCAGGAAAGTAGAGAAATTTAAGATATTCTCAAGGCATTAACACATATTCATATCCCTTTGCTAGGGCTTCCATAACAAAGTACCGAACTGGGGGTTAAACAAAAATTATTGTCTTTAGATGCTGGAGGCCGGAAGTTCAAGATCAAGGTGCTGGCAGGGCACCTCTCCTTGGGTTGCAGACCACGGCCTTCCTGCTGTGTCCTCGCATGGCCATCCCTCTGCGTAGGTGCACCAGGAGTGTCTCCCTGTGTGTCCACATTTCCTCCTCTGATGGTTAATTTTGTTATGTGAATTTCACCTCAATTATTTATTTATTTATTTTTTACTTTATTAAAATACTGAGTTTTATTTCACATGTATATTTTTGTCTCCCCACCATTCCCATTTGTCTGACCACTACTACTACTATGTCCTATCATAACATTCCATACATACTTAAAACCAAGCAAAGGGTAGAGTTCCATCTTTAAAAACTAAACAGGCATTTTGGACAACACATTCTTGGCAATGGAACCTGGACAACATTTATCAGACACGGTAGGGAAAGTTCTCACTCTGCATTATAAAAAGGACAGCCAGATATCACCGGTTACAGAAATGAAATAAGACGGAAAATTTTAACAAACTGTTTAAACTATTTTCTTAAAGAGACTTCCTCCACTGCCAGAGATCTTGAATAGCCTCCAAATCAGTCATCCGGAAGCAATTCTTCACGTAATTAATGAACTTGGCTTCCACTTTGGGAAGAGAACCGCCCTTTTCTATACTTGCTTGCATTTTTGCTTTAATGTCTTCTACAGAACTAGGTCCTTTCGGTGTTTTAGGAGTTTTTTCCTGTTTTTTGAAGGATTCTTGACCTTTTGGTCTTTGTGTTGATGGTTTTGAGTCTTTTCCATTTTGATTTGATTTTTGTGCATTTTTGGCTGGAGTATCTCGTACGGATTTCTTTACTGGAGCTTTTTCTTCTGCTTCATCATCATCAAAATCATCATCATCATCTTCATCGTCGTCGTCCTCATCGTCATCATCCTCATCATCTTCAAGTTTTACTTTTTTCTGAGGAACCTTGCTACCACCTCCAGGGGCTGACCGCTTTCCAGACATACTTAGGAGTTTCACATCTTCCTCCTCGTCTGATTCTGACTCTGCACCTTCCTCCACAGCTACTAAGTGCTGTCCACTAATATGCACAGGCCCTGAACCACAGGTGGTGTTATTTCAAAGCCGCCAAGGGGAACCGTTGGCTGTACAGACATTTTCAAAGTTGCCAGTGTTATTTTAATGGGACTGCCTTCATAATTCATGGCCTCTGCTTCGACAATGTGCAGCTCATCCTTTGCTCCAGCCCCTAGACTGACCGTTCGTAAAGATAACTGGTGCTCATTTTCATCATTATCCACCTTAAAGTGATCATCTTTGTCGGCCTTTAGTTCACAACCGAAAAGGTAGTTCTGGGGCCGCAGAGGGCTCATGTCCATGTCCATAGAATCTTCCATGGGGTGGGAGCACGCACTTGGGTGTCAGAGAAGGCGGGCGGAGAGAAACAGCGTTGGTGCTGCAGCGGAGCAGACGCGCAGGACGGAATCGCACCAGGGAGGCACCTCAATTTTTTTTAAAGTTACCATGGGGAACCAAGATGGCGGCCTAGGTAAGCACCTAAGCTGCCACCTCGCACAACAATTTCAAAACAGCAACTAAAATCAGAACAGATATCATCCAAAAACACACGAAAGCTAGTGGAGTGGGAAATCTACAACTAGAAAGGAGAGAGGCTCACGGATCAGATTGGGAGCCACAAAGCGCTGAGGTAGGGTGACACGCACACAGAGAGGAAGTGCAGCCGAATGCCTGACTGGCAGGAAGGGAAAGGAAGTCCCCAATTGCACTGAACCCTTTCCGACTGCACTGAACCCCAACCCCGGCGAAACCCGTGGACCCAGGCTAATACGGGTGGAGGCTGGACTGTAGAGAAAGGCACCTGGAGACTCAGAGACTGGGAGACTGAGGGAGCCGGGAACTGCAGCAGGCAGGGTCTACAGTCGCACACGAGTGAGTGCACAAAGAGAGGTCTGACCGCAGAGGTTACTGCAGCCTCTCCATAGTGGGAGGAGTCAGAAGCTTCAGACTACAGAGACCCAACCCAATTCCGGGAAAGCCCCTGGGGCACCCACGCTCTTGCACGGGGAATCTGGACAGTCAGGCGGAAACTCAGGGGAGCCTCAGAAGGCAGAGGTTAGGCGTAAACTCAGGCGAGCGCACAAGGGCAGGGCTGACGGGAAGCTAAGACTCAGCTCAGCCTGGAGACTCCGCCCCATTCAAGCTGAGCACAGAGGCTTTTGCAATTTTGCAAGTCTGATCCTTTAAGACTGTCTCTAATACAGAAGGTATCCCAGAGTAGACACAGCTGATACATCCAATTGGCCTGAAGGTCAATTCCTCCCAGGGATACCAACAACAATCAAGACTTAACTACAACAAGGTTGTACACACAGTCCACAAAGGGGAGCACCAAGAGTGTCTACCTCGGGTAACTGGGGAGGCTGACCCATTGGGCCATGTAGGACACCAAACACACAAAGCCACCCTACCAACTCAGGGAAGCAGTGAAAATGCCAAGACGAGGAAATAGATCTCAAACGAAAGAGAGAGAGGATATAGAGTTCAAAACCATGGTTATAAGGTTTTTCAAGAATTTCCTAGAAAAGGCCGATAAATTTAATGAGACCAAACTAAAAATTAAACATAAACTGACTGAAATGGAAAATAGTATGCAGAGATCCAACAGCAGAATGGAGGAACACAAGAATCAGGTCAAAGATTTGGAATACAAAGAGCCAAAAGACACTCCTCTGGAGAAGCAAGAAGAAAAGAGAATCCAGAAAGTTGAAGATAGTGTGAGGAGCCTCTGGGACAACTTCAAGGGAACCAACATCCAAATTATGGGGGTGCCAGAAGAAGAGAGAGAGCAAGATACTCATATTTGAAGAAATAATATTAGAAAACTTCTCCACCTGGTGAAAGAAATAGACTTACAAGTACAGAAACCCCAAACAAGAAGAATCCAAAAAGGACTACACCAAGACACATCATAATTAAGATGCCAAGGGCAAAAGACAAAAAGAGGATCTTACAAGCAGCAAGAGAAAAGCAGTAGTTTACCTATAAGGGAGCACCCATACGACTATCAGCTGATTTCTCAACAGAAACTATGCAGGCCAGAAGGAAGTGGCAAGAAATATTCAAAGTGATGAATAGCAAGAACCTACAATCAGGATTACTGTATCCAGCAAAGTTATCAATCAGAATTGAAGGGCAGATAAACTTCACAGATAAGAAAAAGCTAAAGGAGTTCATCACCACCAAACCAGTATTATATGAAATGTTGAAAGGTATTCTTTAAGAAGAAAAAGAAGAAAAAAAGATAAAAATTATGATCAACGAATACATATCTATCAACAAGTGAATCTAAAAATCAAGTGAATTAAAAATCTGAGGAACAGAATAAACTGGTGAATATAATAGGAGCGAGGGCATATAAAGGGAATGGATTGATAATTATCAGGGGGAAAGAGGTGCAGGAAGACACTGAATTAAAATTGTACACCTATGGTTGAGGACAATGGTGCGGGGGAAGGAAAGGGCAGAGGGTGAGATGGGAACCGGGTGGAAGGGATCTATGGGGGGGAAAAGGAGAAACAATTGTAATAATATGAGCAATAAAGATTTATTTTTTTTAAAAAGCTACCATGGGAGTGAGATTCAGCTTTAAGCATCTGCTTTGCCAAGGAAACCACTGTGGACTCCAGGGGAGCTCTGGCCCCTCATCTCCCTCCCACCCCGCCCACCAAGACGCCAGGCTGTGAAGGACTATGAGGTGGCACACCTCACTCGCTCACTTGTTCATTCAGTAACCAGTACAATTTTCCCACTAGGATGGGTCCGGAGATGGAGACACCATCTCTGAGGGCTCCAGTCTAGCTCAGCACTGGCAATAAAGACATTGTAAGGCCCACATATGTTCTTGTAAGTTTTCCAGGAGCCACATTTTAAAAACTAAAAAGAAACAGGTGAATCATTTGTAATAGAAAAATTAAAATAAATTAAAAAAAAGAAAATCTGCCGAAACTGGTTTGGCTCAGTGGGTAGAGCATTGGCCTGAGGACTGAAAGGTCCCAGGTTCAATTCCAGTCAAGGGAATGTACCCTGGTTGCTGGCACATCCAAGAGGCAGCTGATTGATGATTCTCTCTCATCGATGTTTCTAACTCACTATCCCCTCTCTCTTCCTCTCTGTAAAAATCAATAAAATATATATTTTTAAAAATCCATGGATTTCTTTTAAGTGGTAGGAGACTAAAAATGGCAGTAGAGTAAGTGGATGTTGGACCAAATTGGAATTACAACTAAAATATAGAAACCCATCCTGAATAATCAATAAAAGAATTACTGAGAGAACCCTGATAATCAAGAATGGAAAGTAGACCATTTAGAGCCTGGCTGAAATGCAAAAGGGCTGACCATGCTCCCACAGACAGCAGCTGAATTTTTGAAGAAATATCTCAGCTATGGGGGTTGCCACTGAGAACTTTGAGGTCTAATCCCCAAGCTAGTCTGCCCTGCAGAGAGCACCAGAACTGAGAAGGGTACCCACATAACATCTGTGAAAAGCAGCAGAGTTGATATCTGCCAAGAAGAGATAGCTGGAAATTCAGGCAGCCTTTTAAAGGGCCAATGCACAAAATTCCCTGTGTATCCACTCACCTCATACTCAGACAGAGGGAGGGCAGAGTGGATTGGGGCTGTGTGAGCAAAAACCAGGTTGGGGGCTCTGGGGTTTGACCTCAGAAGGCAGACACTGGTTATCTGTCGTGACTCATTCTTTGATGCTATGACTCTTTCTTATTCAGACAATTGCTATCCAGGTGGTTTTGCCTGGGGGGAAGACAGTTGAATCATCCTATGGGAAAACACCTTGCCCCACAGTGTGGAATTTCTGAGGCCCATTAAGAGACTGAAAATAGCAATTAAGACTCATTTAGTAACTAAAAATATTAATATGTCCATAATTCTGATTTCTCATTTTGTTGTTTTGCATTGGCACTGTTATTATTTAATAGCCAGAGTTTTGCTCTTGAGATTCAAGTTTTGAAAATAACATGTATGTGGTTTAGTTTTTGCATTGGAAAAAAAAAGTGCACCTATGGATGAGGACAGGGTGGGGGGGAAGGGCAGAGGGTGGGGTGGGGACCTGATGGAGGGGGGGGGAATGAGGAACTTTTGTAATAATATGAACAATAAAGATTTATTTTTTAAAAAAAAATAATAGCAATTAGCCTCCAGGCAGAAGCTATTGCCCCACCCTGTTGGAAAAAAAAAACTCTCATTGCAACTGTGGATATTTAAATCCTGAGGGCTATTTAAGACTAAATCCAATCAGTCTGCAGGTAGAGGCAGTCTCTAGAAACTTTGAGTTTTTGCCTAATCTAATTAGTCGAAAACAGTGTTTGACAGGATCCTGCACTAGAGAATGAGAGGTTAGCAGATTGACCTAATACATAGTCTTAAAACCAAATAAGCAGCCAAAATGAGGAGACAAACAACCCTAGGTAGGTTGCCTCTCCCCCCAATGAAAGAACAAGAGAACTCTCCAGAGGAAGAGACAAATAAAATGGAGATAAGAAATTTATCTGATACAGAGTTCAGAACAATCATGGTAAAGATGCTCAACAGCATGAGAAATGATATAGTAACAATGAAAACAGAATAAAGAATGGCATGACACAAAGAACATACTGGAAGGAATACACAGCAGGGAAGATGAGGATTGAATCAGTGATTTAGAAGACAAGGTAGAAAAAAAATCACTCAATCAGAGAACCAAAAAGAAAAAACAAAAAACAGGAGGACACCAGGAATGCTCAGGGCCTACTCAAGAATGCAAATAATCCTTTCTACTAATATTTACAAGGTAAACTAAGATTGTTGGTAGAGTATTAAATTTGACAGTAAAATAGTAATCAAGTTTTCAGATTAATTTAAATAGGCTAATTGAAATAAGTGGATATTCAAGAAAATTTAATTGTACTGGACAAAAAGCTGTTCTTAAAGTGTTAACTAAAATTTCTATTGTTAGTTCATCTCATGGTAAAATTCCTGAACATGCAATGAATCTAAAGCAGACATATTTTTGTGCAAAAAATTAAAATGAAAAGTTATCAAGACTACATTATGAATTTACAAAAGCCTCCATTTTAACCAAAAAAAGGGGGGGGGGTAGTAGGGTAATATCATCTAAGGAAAAATATCCTGTAAGTAAATTACATCTAGAAAATTTTTACTTTACAAAATTAATTTTCATTTGTAATGCTAACAGCAAGACACCCATGAAAAACACACATGGTGTCTAAATAAGACAAAGGAAAGTCATTTGGGCAAAAGTAAAAAGGATCCCAAATCAATTATATAGAAAAGATTTCTTTATTAACTTTTGGTCAAGA